ATGTAGATCATTTGAAATAGGAATACTAGTTTTAAGGTGAACAAATCTGCATGCTTGTGCTACATGTTGTGTACAGAAATGACCCAAAGACTGTAAATATGCCTTTAGCTTGATATCTAAATACACACATCCAGCAAGTGTATTTTAAAACACGGGACTCTCTCTATATTCCGGCACTCAGGATATTAAAGTTTCTGTAATTGAACCCTAAAATACCCCTTTTTCACAGCCACGTACACATTATTTTTCATGACTAACATCAAGCTAACCAGGAAAAATGCACGACGCAGCACAATCCTATGGCGAGATAGAAGGGGTATTTTCTGTGACCGTGAACGTCGGCTGATTGTCAGAGTATCCTGACAAGCTCTTGGATCTCATTACCAGCAGATAGATGACTGTGCAGGAAAACAAACAACGGCCATGTCAGATCAACCAGATTAGCATCGAGGTGCCGTGGGAAGCTGCTGAAAAGTCTGGGAACGAAGACAACTTGTCAACTCCGATAAGGTCAGGCGTTTTTAGCCGACACGTTCAGATTCAGATATATGAATACAACCAGCCCTCTATCTAATGCAGCTTGTGTCATATAAAGGATGTGTTCAATCCCTGTTATGATTTGATTTCTAGATATCAGCAATGTTGAACTTTTGTTAAGACAGACATTTGAAATTCAAAGGATTCAGAACCATACCAATGTTTAAAATCATTGGTTGTTTCTAGCAAGGAAAAAGTACTTGTACTCAAAACATGCTTTAAAAAGTGGGTTTTCAGCCCTGCACTTTGTAAAAGATAAAATATAAAGTTTTGCATTACTAGGGAGCTAACTGCATGTTTGTTTAGGATTCAACATTAAATGTCTTGGCCGATTCCATGTACATTTCATTATATTGAATCTGATTGACCCTCTTTCAATTAGCACTTTGGTCTGGGTTGCTTACGTACGTTCCCCTTAATATATAAAATCTCAGCATAGTATGAAAACTATAGGATCTTTGATAATAGCTTCTGTGTCCGAGACAGCGAGAACAGGTATCGTAAATGCCAGCGACACCACACTGTCACTACATCGTCCCCATGTTTGCCGGCACACAGAAACCCTCAGAGGAATACAGTACACCGAGTAAATACACACAGCACTAACACGTGCATGCAAACTCTCGTATGCGTACAGCAGCTCTGTTTGAAGACGCTCTCATTGGCGGAAAGGTGAAAATAAAGCGGACACCGAGAACGGAAACTCTGCGGGAATCTGGTTCAGTGGTTACAGTACGAGGACAACAAGACAGTGTTTCTTTAGAGAGAAAGATGGCATTGTTGTGGATGCAGAACGGAAACCACCAGGTCTGATGGTTCTTACACTGGCCTTTAATAGTAACTTAGACATCGAGAAGCTAGCTGTTCCCCCCGTGTCCAGTATATTTCCTAAACTAAGTTGGTTGCAGCACAAACACGAGAGCAGAATCCATTTTCTAATCGAACTTTCTGGAAAAGCAGATGTGAAAAATGTTTTTAGATTCTCAATTTCTCAAATAAAGTAGAAATATCAGTCTAAAAAGTAATATAATGAAAAAGTACTGTAATAATCCAAATGAAAAATGTATATGCAGAATAGATCCGTATAAAGTGCAATATCATATGCATATGAAAGTATAATGTTTTTATCGTGAGTTACATGTAAGAAGCCACTTTGTATACAACTGGGTTAAATAGTAGTATAGCATTGTGTTATATCATTTAAACATAATCACTTTTTGTGTAGTATACTGGAGTAAAATGTACAATATTTCCCACTGAAATGTACTGAAGTTGAAATATGAAGTAGGATAAAATTAAAGTTAAGAACTTCAAAATGGTATCTTATGTAAATGTTCGACTAATGAAAGTTTAAACTTAAATCACGTTTTTTCAACTTTCCATCCCAGACCCTGTGACTCTTTTGGAGAAGAAAAGTGGGAATCAGATTTCACGATGTGATAAAAAAAAGTTGTTAACCACATCAAAAGAGTTAGATCTGAGTACGGTATGTTTGAACTGTTCCGGGACAAAAGATGGAGATTAAAGTGACACATCAATGCATTATACACACACGCCACATGAAAGCACTGAATATGATGGTGGCTGGATAACACTGAGGGTCGTACCAGGGTCACAAAGCGTGTGTGTGCTTTTGTTTTAATGGACATTTGTATGAATGCATGCACACTGATGTGACAAAGTGTGTAAATCTGACTGTCCTCTCTGAATACACTGAGCACACGTGGATGATATGACATATTGATGATGTCCATAACTAAGTTTATGCACTAATGTATTCATTTTTCCTTCTCTTTGACTGAGCCACCCCCGTCGCTCTGCACTTTAAACTCTGCTGCTTTGAAATTCCCTGCAGAAAACAAAGCTCCGTCCGGCTGCAGACAATAAAGCAGCTGGATTTCTGCACATGTGCCTTTGTGTGGGTCTGAGGCCTTGTCATAACTCCATCGCAGGGGCCTAGACTTTCATCACGCACACATGATAACTCACACACGTACATGGAAAGTCACTGGCTCGGAGAGACGAATGGCGGTGATGGCACAAAAGAATATTTGATTTGGTTATAAATACCACAACATGAAAGAGGAGCACAGCGGGGTAAAGGGCAGAGGCCACGACAACCAGAGAAGTCTTATCTTCGCCATCATCACCATCATACATAGTGCGTCTGAAAATCAGGTTAGCATTATCGAACTGTGACCAGCGCGTTACGTCTCCTCTTTTTCATTTGATTTAATCTCATGGAGATAATAGAATCTTTACCATTTCAGAGGCCTTTGGAATGGCTGGTATTGTTCAAAAATCAAAAGTCTTGCAGAATAAAGCACATTAAGTGTGCCATAGATACCATTTAGTGGACTTGGGGATATAAAAAAGGCAATTCATTATAAATACCAAAAGGATTTTCTTGGCCAAGTCTATGACTTCATTAGAAAGTGGATATGAAAGTAAATCTATAGAATATTATGAGAACTTAGATTTATTTTCTAAAAAACCTGCATTTATATGGTGTAATTAAAGCCCCCCTTGCACAACAGTGCATTGTTCTTATTGTGACTCACTTGGACATACATTTGACAAGAAATAGAGTTAAACCCTAACACTGTTTTCGCATGAATCTCCATAAAGGTCCCATGACATGGCCATTTCTACTGATCATAATTCCATTGTTGAGGTATACTAAAATAAATGTATATTGTGCAATTTTCCAAACTCACATTGGTTTCTCATACAGCATCTCTGTATAGTATGTGTATTCACTCTGTCCTAAACGGCTTGTTGGAGCTCCTGCCCCCCCTCCCTGTGAGCCCAGTGGCCGTCTGCGAGACAGCGAAACACAGATAAACCCAGCCCAAACACACACACCCGCAGCCTGGCTGGGAGTTTGTGTGTGTGCCCATGCTGAGTTCTGCGGTGTCTCGTCGACCCCACACCAGTGAGCCAGCTCACACTGTCCCGCTCCTCGCAGCAGCGAGCCTCGCAACGTCCCGCCGAGTGTGAGTGTGTGTGTGTGAGGAAGTCCGCGGATTGGTCCAAACGTAACGGCTCCGCAGATTGGTTCAAATGGACCAATCTGCAGAGCCGTTACATTACGTCACTATACCCAAGAAGTAAACAATGGAAAAAGAGAAATCTCCAACGAGGCGTTCTGGGGCAGCATAGACAGGTCTTTGTTGTGTTAGTTTTACTCGCTACAGGGTGTACTTTGAGGGTTTGTTACTCTGCAGACCGTTTACATGCAGAAAAAGCTACATAACACACACAGGGACGATTAATAACCAGAAAAGCATGACATGGGACCTTTAAGAACGGAGCGTTTATCTGCACTTACCCCAAATATCAGATTAACTGCAATAAAGCTGTATAACAACTCACCTCTGACTGGCAGAGAACTTTGAATAATTTGCACAATTATAATGTATATTCAATCCAATCTCTTTTCTATTGTGAATTTGTAAATACTCGCTGTTCGTGTGAATTTGTATTCTTACAAAATATACTTGCTGCTAATGTTAATTTTAACATTTGTATCTTATTGTATCTTTAAAAATGTTTTAACTCATGTAATGCTTGACACGGATGCTGGAACAAAAAAATATCCCAATTTGGGATAAATAAAGTATCTATTTATCTATCTATCTAACTAACACAGGCATCTGTAAATATGGTATTGGGAAGCCAATCGTGGTTCCAATATGAAACTTACACAAGTGTGGTATCCATGTTTTGTTTTATGGCAAAGAGACTTGAAAGGTGATAAAGAGGGGATGACACACAGTCAAGGGCTACAGATCTGATTCAAATTGAGGCCGATAGTAAACATACAATTACAATGACAACTGACTTTACAGTGAATTAGGAGAAACCTTGTATTAAGTAGTTTTGAAATGATAAATATTTCTGTATTTAACTTTTTATGGACTAATATATTCCATTTAAGTAATCTTTACTGTGAAGAATTCAAAAGTGTTTTATTTGGAAAAAACATATAATATAAAACATTATTCAATGAATAGCAGTTTGACGTAAAACCATAGCTTAAAGCCCAAAATGAACGGGGGCTTTAAATAATTCTGGACACAATCTTGATCTATTAATAGATCACAATGCACAAGGCAAGGCTAATTCCACTATAATTTTAAATGATAACACCTGTATATAAATCCGATATTTAATCAAAAACAGATAGGCCTACAAATATTAATCCGGTAATTTAATATTATATTAATGAAGAATAAATAAAACCAACTGACAGTCTGTGTAAACCCACTCAGCATGTGAGTTAATGAGTATTTTATGCAGACATGTCTAACACAATAGTGAATTGAGAGTTTACCCTCACACACTGCGTCTCATTCTGCAGGTCAGACGTCCCTCCCCCTCCGCTGCGTGAGTGGTTTAAAGTTTCACTCCTCGGGCTCTGATTGGTCCGTGAAGTTTTTCCGAGGATGAATAACTCCAGAGCTCCGAGTCCCCTGACGCACAGCAGCCGGAGAGTTCAGAGAGACAGTTAGAGTATTCTCCTATCTTACACATCAGGGTAAGAGGATACTAAACTATGGAGCTTATCACAAATAGAGTCAGGTTTGTTTTATAGAGGAGTTTTGCTTGCAGAGATTTCAGTTTTGGAATATTTTTTTCCGACTTTTTCTTTTTTAACTGCATCACCCACTGTGAAACATGCCTGCTTTCGGAGTTTGGATTAACGCAATTTGGATTTTACTTTTCGCCGGTTGTGACTTGGCTTGTTCAAGTTATTCTGAAGACCAGTGCAGCTGGAGAGGAAGGCAAGTATCTTTATATCTTACGAGAGCTCTTCCTGGATGATGTTGAAAAATGCCACCGAGAGATGCTACAGGTGTCCCGCTGGCAAAGGACAACATTTGTTTGGATGCAACATGTTGAGACGTGCCTTTAGGGCGCAGAGAAATGTTTCTCTCTGCTGCGCTCGCGCCTCCGGGCTGTCTGCAGGAGGCATGGGGGGTGCAGACAGGCAGGAGACTGCAGGATTACAGCTAAGACTGGAGGAAAATAACATGTGGTGCATGCACTTGTTGAAGGGTAGTTTCATTATAAATACATTGTTAAAAATTCCTGCAGAGGACTTTTAGTTGTTATAGTTTTATAGTTTGGCCCTTAAGATGCAATGACTGGCCCCTGGTACCACAGGTTGCCAGTAGGCGGCACCTTCATGGGAATGTCTTCATCAGGTCTTCATCCACAGAAGTTCTACTGAAAAAAAAAGTGTTATAGTCACTATATTATTTGTAGTCGTTACTATGAAAAGTTAGGGGTTTATTTTTCAACCTGCACAGACCATCTTGCAGTTATTTCAGGAAACTAAGCCCTGCTGATGCTGATGTAAGGGACTCATGTTTAGAGCCCTAACTCTTGCCTGAATATAAACTTTATCTAACCTTTCCTCCTTTCTCTCCTCACAGTGGTTTGTCCCAGCAGCAGGGCAGCGTGGAGCAGATCTTCCTCCACTGCTCTGAGGGCACCTTGGACTGGCTGTACCCCAAAGGGGCCCTGCGCCTCAGCCTGTCCCCCCGCCTGCCCTCTGTGGCGGTGGGGCCCGGCGGCAGCAGCTCGGGCCTCATCACGGCCTGCGTCAAGCCCTCGGAGCATTTCCACGGAGCCCAGCTCTACCTGGAGAGGGACGGGGTCCTGGAGCTCCTGATCAGCGACCGGCTGGAGTCCTCCCCCCCACCGAGGGTCCGCTGCTTCAGCCGCCTGCCCGGGGAGAGGGTGGCTCTCTTCCTGCAGGCCACACCTCACCAGGACATCAGCAGGAGGATTGCATCCTTCAGATACGAGCTGAGAGGAGACTGGACCGCCCGCCTGTCACTGGACAACAACCCCATCAGTAGTGAAGGTGAGGCAGCCATGTTGGATTGAGTGTGAGGTCAAATAGGGAGACACAATGACCCGTTTATACTTTAATTTGTCCTTATCTAGACAATAAATTAGTATCAGAGGAACCATTTTATCTCTTAAATAAATAACTACCAAATATAGGATGAAAAAAGTAATCAATTTTTACATTTCCTTTCAGTTCACCTAATTTCTACCTTGAAGCGGTAATCTATTAATAATCTAATTTCTGTCTCTTTTTGTCATATGAAAGAAACAAAAACTCGTAAAAACCCACACACTGTGGTCAGAGTTCTTCCTGAAAGGTTTTGGGGGACGTAAGCTTTTATTCAACCAGTGATGATATTACACTCCATAAAATCCTCCCTGTGGATGATTCATAATTCATAGCAGGCCTCTGTGGGCTGGTTGGACTTTCCGCAGCCTTGCAGAGTGCAGAGGGGAGGAAGTGGCCAAACTACCCAGAGGCGTGCGGGTTTGGAGTAGGAGAAGGGGAGCCGTGGAGTGGGGAGGAGGGGGACAAAAGCTCAGTATGTGGGGCTTTCTCCAGAGTCCACAGCACTTTGAATGGGTGCCGCATGAGTATTCTGGGATTACTGCCGTCTCCTAGGAGACAGGGAGGCCTCTGCCCAGCTGAGATGCTCCCCTCTTTTGTTGAGCTGCCTCTCTGTGGGGAGACTTGTCTGTAGGAGTTTACTCCCCCCTCCCACACACACACACACACACTGATTAGGCTTGGATGGGGGTTTGCTGTGGACTAGAGAGGAAGGAATCTCATTTATCAAGAGGTTTTCACTAAGGAGGAGAATATGTGGGGTGGGCAAGGGGGCCTCCAAAGAACCACAAGGAGAACTTTAAAAAATGCCAGGATTTTTTTTTCATTCTACCCACAGTTTAGTCCATGCAGACGGACAGAGCTTTGATGGTTTTAATTTTTTTAGTGGCCATCTGCCAATCTTGTTAGGACTTAAAGTTAGGGGAACTATATTTATAAAAAAATAAATAAAAAAATGTCCTTCCAGTTTTTAAGAGAAGCCTTGGAAGAAAGAAAGGAGAGTATTTTGTGGGAAGTGACCCCCTTAAAAGATCTTTGAAGTCCGCCCCTACTCCCTCTCTTTTTGGCCCCTGTCTACATGGCTTTGATGAGGTGTGACTGTAGACACCCTGAAAGGCTTTAAGGGGGGAAGTTTCATCTAGCCATTAAATTGTTTGGGGTGGAAAAGCCTCGCACCTTAAAGCTCCACTGGTCCTCCTCTGCCAACTGTAAAAGTAGCAGCTGTCTGTTACAGAGCGACGGTGGTCTCTCCTTTGTTGCTCGTCTTTGCAGAGTTTTATCTCACATTCCTGTGCATGTGATCTGAACATGTCTTTGATTTCCAGAAGCTTGCTTTAATTACAAGCATGTATGTGTTTTATAGCAGTTTACAGTGTTATGCAAGGTCACCAACTGACTTCTTCCTTCCCTTGTTTTCTCTCCAGAGGCCTGCAGACCCTGCAACAACACTGAGATTCTGATGGCCGTTTGCACCAGTGACTTTGGTGAGTAACATGATGTAACAAGTTGCTAATATGACAGAAGACCAGAAATGAAATGTCATTGTCACTCAGAAATCCACCCTTCCAATTCAGCCTAGATCAACAAATTAAACCGGACCTCCACAAAGTCGTGGCGGCAAATCCGAAGATCATAATGATTTCTAATCAGGATCTATAAATGGGTCGAATCGGTTTAAAAAGGCAGCGAACCCCGGTGCCTCCAAATCCTCTCCTCTCAAAAGTGCAAAGGTTAAAGGTGAAACAGCAGCTTTCTGCACACACACACAGGAACCCCTACTGGAGGCACTGTAGTGGACTAATCCTGACATCTCCCCCCCAGAGAAGGAGTAGTGGACTAATCTACAGGCCTCTTATTGAGCTGTTATGGCACTGAGGAGAATTTCAGCTGGCAACAAAAGTTAGGATTAGTGAGGAGGTTTTGTCCTTAGTACGTCTTTAGACATCAGTTTGTGGTCAACAAAGAGTCACCCCGGTAGGACGATATAACAACCTACATGAAAAAACAAAGTTCTGCGTTGTGAAATATTCATAGAAATTAACCTGAATGTCCTGTTTATCCACAGTCGTGCGAGGCAACATCCGTTCAGTGGTGGAAGACGATAACCTACGAGCGGCGGTGATCAAAGTCAGCGCCACCCGGGTGTTTCGTCAGAAGTACGCCCTGTTCACCGGCAACAGTCGCCTCAGCAGCCGCGGGGAAGTCAGGACGCTGCTGCAGTGCGGCGTCAAACCGGGGCCCGGCAGCTTCCTGTTCACCGGACGGGTCCACTTCGGGGAGGCCTGGTTGGGCTGCGCTCCCCGATACAAGGACTTCCAGAGGGCTTACATGGCAGCCAAAGCAGCCCAGCAGATACCCTGTGAACTGCCAGTAGACTGAGTGTAACAACTCACCAACAGCTTGTCTACCACTCAGAGTTGAGGCCGTTCTGAAAGCCAGGCCAAACTCAGCCTTGCTCCATGTTTTGGAAGAAGCCATTGTGCGCCCCATGCAGCCATGGCGCCACCAACGTCTTCCTAAAGGACTGAGGAGTAAATGGACTTTTCCCAACACCATTTCAGTGCAATATGCAGTCACCGGGTCAGGAATACCCTGTTCAAGTGACATGAGGGATGTGGTTGAAATGAACTCATACGCATTTGGTATTGAAAAGTGATGCCATTATGCAGGTTCAGAGAAAATCTATTGAAAAGCTTTCCATTCGAGATCAAATAAGTCGAGCCATTAAATCAGGCCCATTGAGAGACCTTGCGTTGAACTCAGGAACATTTATTTACATTTCTATAGAAAGCTTACTGCCTATTAGTTAGTATCCTAGTGAGGATACACTCTAGGCACCTTTATTTTCAGCCATGTCTGGCCATGGGAAAGTTAGGTTTTGCTGGGGTCATCCTCAGTGTTACAACTATTAAGGAGATTATAAAAGAGTCCTCACTAAATGTATATTTGCACTGATAAAGGGAAGGGAATCATCTGGAAAGTGTGATGCTGCAAGCACTGAAAACCAAATAAAAAGCAACTATATGTAGCATAGCGAAGTGGAGCAATTGAGAATTTAATATATGTACAGATGATGAAGGCACATACAGTACCTGAGCATGTTTCACAGCTTAAACTAGAGCTGAGAGCACTTTCATATTCAGCCAACTCTGAGATTCTGCCTTTGGGATGAGATACAGGCTTTGTTACAGAAACATAACCGTACATTTCAGTAGCCATGCAATATTTCTGCTGAATTGAACCAATTGGACAGCATTTCATTATAAAAACAATATTTTAAACACATGTTTAAGTGGAGTTGTAGCAGTGTTGCCAAAGCCTTTCTAAGTTGTGTTGTTGTCAAGTCATTCCCGCTCTCTGCTGATGAACCACATAACAAAATTCACCTTTATATACTGTAATAAGCATAACAGTCATTTATAACCGCAGTCCAGCGTTATAATGATATAAACCTGTTGCTATGGATTAAAAAGAACAACTGCTTTTGGTAAAAAACACAAGTCATAACAATGGCTAGCTCAAGAGAAATGCAAAAATGTGCATTTAATGTATACAATTCTGTTAAATGTTTTATATCTAATGTGCACTATATCAACAGGGGGAGAGGTTCATACCAAATTACCGTAATGTGCTAAAGCGGTATGTCTTATAAGCGTAAACACTGCCATTTTCGCTGTTTATTTGTTATGTAAATGTATGTTAATAGCAATATGATTGTAAATATGTTAATAAGAAATTCTAGAAGCATCGGCATTGAAAAAAAGCCTGTGGAAAAAACAACATTGTGATATTATTGTGGATTATTTTTGTGTTTGTCTGTGTGAATAAAATATACTGTGAGAAAACACTCAAGTATTTATTTTCTTTTCTCAAATGTTCACTTTGAACTCTTTCTTTGGTCATTTTATGATCCACATCTATTATGCAGCCGGATCATTCATTTATCAGCGCTCTAAACCTCTCACGGAAAACATCAATACAGTTTAACCTACACTATAGTATCTGGGTCCAAAGGTTTGTAGCATGGTAAACTTTTCTCAGACATAAGTCACTTCAAGTACCCATGAATCAAATCCTTGAAAGCTCAGAACAAACGGCGTGCCCGAGAGAGCGAGAGGCCTTGAAGGCGGGGAGATTTAGGGAGCGTTCACGACCTTGAGGGCGTTCGGACGGGGAAGGAGGTAGAGTACAGCGTTAGGAATTCTGTTGTCCTCAGACTCCCATTTTTAGGATTCAGGAAGCAATAAATTGCCATTAAGGGAGCGGCGTGGCAGACTCGCCTCGGCTGAGGTGCCACACAGTCGCTCACATTGTCCTGACCACGTGTACGCGAGAACACAATGAAACCAAATCTCTGTTCCACGCCACATAACACATGCAGCTCCAGCTAAACTCTGGTTCCTAACTCAACTAGGATTTCTCCTGCAGCATCACAGACCAAGGACACTTCCCTGAACAGATGAGGAGCTGCATGGTGGATAACACATCCATATTATTTTATGATAAAAATCACCACCTGTTTCTCCTCCTTGCAAAATTCTGTATTAAACTTGTACACGCACGCACCTCAATAAAATCTCAAATGTATTGCATCCAGTAAATCCAGTTGAAAAAGAGCAGCTGAGGAATTTACATGGTGTTTTGGTTCAATGTGTAAAAAGGAGAATCACAAAAGCTTGACATGCCTTCCATGTCTGGCTGGCTATCTCCCATAGAAAACCTGACACTGCTTTGCCACCGCATCGGTAGTTCATGTGAGGGAACCTCCAACATCCCCAGCTATTTACTGCCTCAGTGCTCCTTTAAAGCATACCGTAGCTGGGGGGCCTCGAGCTGCTCAGCCCTGCAAACACACACCTCTACCCCCTCCTCACCAGTACATCTGAGGTTACTGCTGCAAGGCTGATAAGCCAAAAACAAAGAGCATTCAAATTATACTCCAACAACTAATACATCATGTCACATTTGGACAAAGCTCAACTTCCTGCATTGTTGTCGCTTCTTTGTGACCCCTGCTTGAACCCCTAAAACTGCAGTATTAATGTCAGGGTGTCCACGTTGACAGTGTCGCAGAGTTTAGTTTTGTTATTGCTAAATAAACCTGTCTAATTCTAAATAAAACTTTGTGAAAAATACAGAAAGAAAACGCTCTAAAGACGTTTCTTCCATATTTACACTTGCTCCCAACGCACAAAAAGTTGGCGCATGGGACACTTCTCACCTTCAATGGTTGCCATACTGGCAATGTGTTGGAGAAAAAATGGGACTCAATTAGGCTGCAGCCGTTGCTCTAATAAAAAAGCGATACAATTACAACAATTGTCAAGTGGGCCAACATACATCAAATGTTGGCGTAAGGCTATGTCCAGTTGCAGTTTGCCCTTAAAAAGAAATCGACAATAATCCAGTAAATGTTGCAATCGTAATTTCTGATAAGTGCACAACAGCCGTGTTCAATTTGAACTAACCCTACTCTTTCAAAAGTCACGCACCAGACTAGTAAGTCAATTATGAACAGTGTCGTACATGGAAGTATACTAAGAGAGGTATCAAAATACCACAACAATGACGATTGCATACACTTTGATGCTCATAGATTTCACAAGTTCTGCCGACTGCTACAGAAACACAATACCCACCCCCCTCCCCCGTCCACCCCACTGCTGGCGTTATTCTCTCCTGTTGTGTTATTGAGGTGAGGTACGGACACAGTGGGGCGGGAAGCACTCAGGAAAGGGGAATCTGAAGCAATGGGAGAGAGAGTGTTGGGTGTGGACTTCCGTCAGCCCCTGGGGGAGTTTGGGGGAAGCGGCCGGAGACAAAGCTCCAGAGATGAGAGCACGGACAGGGGCAAAGTGCTCCTGGACCCTCCCTCATATCGAAGCCAAACAACACCGCACCCAGCGCACAGGTCCTGTTTATACAGCAGAAACTCTCTCTGTTATGCAGCTTTAATAAGGTCTACAAATCCTACCGGCAAACCCCTGATACTGAGGGATAATAGACCCTCTACTTGTGTCTGGTATTAGCTTTATCTACATGCATTATTTTTGCAATACTCCTAATGCATCCTTCGATTGTGGACATACATTCTTGACCTCAGAACAGTGGTTGACACAATCTCATTTGCCTTCTAAGTATTGTGGTTGACACAATCTCAACACAGGACCCAATATTGTTTTTGGAGCTTTCCCATCATATGATGTTCTTTAGTGGATGGAGGTTTTATAGCTGAGGTTGTTGACATTTCTGAGCACTGCAAGGACTGAAAGGTCAAGAATTTCCAGAACAAAATAAAGTAGTAGGGAAACTATTCTGTAAACCAGGGTTTTTCCGTCTCCTCGTTTTTTTCCGGCATGTACAAATACATTTCACAATGTTCAAGATGACATTTCTGTTTGCAGAATAGCAACAGAATCAACAGAAATGAAAGGAACTTCACTGATTTTGCTTCAGCTTCTTTAACGACATTGTAAGGCAAGGCAAGGCAAGGCAAGTTTATTTATATAGCACTTTTCAACACAAGGCAATTCAAAGTGCTTTACAAAAAATGAAAGAGATTAAGAAAATGGCATTTAAAATCAGTCATTAAAAAGAAAAGCTAATAAAATAAACATTAAAAGAAAAAAATACATGGCAGTCAATTAAACATTAAAAGAAAAAAGTACATGGATAAAAGTTACAGTGCAGTCTAAGATATGAATAGTTCAATTAAAAGCAGCGACAAAAAGAAAAGTCTTCAGCCTGGATTTAAAAGTAGTCAGAGTTGCAGCGGACCTGCAGGTTTCTGGGAGTTTGTTCCAGATATTTGGAGCATAATAACTGAACGCTGCTTTACCATGTTTAGTTCTGACTCTGGGGACAGAAAGCTGACCAGTCCCTGAAGACCTGAGAGATCTGGATGGTTCATAATTTAGCAGGAGGTCAGAAATGTATTTTGGGCCTAAACCATTCAGTGCTTTATAAACCAGCAGCAGTATTTTGAAATCTATTCTTTGACACACAGGAAGCCATTGTAAAGACTTCAGAACAGGAGTGATGTGATCCACTTTCTTAGTGTTAGTGAGGACTCGAGCAGCGGCGTTCTGAATCAGCTGCAGCTTTCTAATAGATGTTTTAGTGAGACCTGTGAAGACACCATTGCAGTAGTCGAGTCTACTGAAGATAAAAGCATGGACAAGTTTTTCCAAATCCTGCTGTGACATTAGTCTTTTAATCCTAGATATATTCTTTAGGTGATAGTAGGCTGATTTAGTAACTGTTTTAATGTGACTGTTGAAACTCAGGTCAGAGTCCATGACTACACCTAGATTTCTGGCTTTATCTGTTGTTTAGAACATTGCACACTGAAGCTCAGCGCTAACTTTTATACGTTCTGACTTGGCTCCAAAAACCATTACCTCAGTTTTATCTTTGTTTAATTGGAGAAAGTTCTGACACATCCAGTCATTGATTTGTTCAATGCACTTACTCAGTGTTTGAATTGGAGCATAGTCTCCTGGTGAAATTGTTACGTAAATTTGTGTGTCATCTGCATAGCTATGGTAACTTATTTTGTTGTTCTTCATTATCTGAGCCAGTGGTAGCATGTAGATGTTAAAGAGAAGAGGCCCCAAGATGGAGCCTTGAGGAACCCCACATGTCATATTTGTCAACTCAGATGTGTATTTACCTATAGAAACAAAGTTGTTTCTGTCCTTTAAGTAGGATTCAAACCAATTCAGAACTGTTTCCGAAAGTCCCACCCAGTTTTCCAGTCGGTCTAGTAATATGCTGTGGTCAACAGTGTCAAACGCAGCACTGAGATCTAATAATACTAACACTGAAGTTCTGCCACTGTCTGTGTTTAAGTGGATGTCATTGAAGACCTTTACCAGAGCAGTCTCAGTGCTGTGGTTTGGACGAAAGCCTGACTGGAACACATCAAAACAGTTATTTAAATGCAAGAAATTACTCAACTGTTGAAAAACAACTTTTTCAATGATTTTACCTAGAAATGGGAGGTTTGATATGGGCCTGTAATTGTTCATTACTGAAGCATCTAGATTATTCTTTTTTAAGAGCGGTTTAATGACTGCAGTTTTCAGGGCCTGTGGAAAAATACCTGAGTGAAGAGATTTGTTTACTATATGAAGTAGATCTGAGGCCATGCAAGGCAAAACATCTTTGAAAAATCCTGTTGGAATAATATCAAGGCAGCAGGAGGAGGATTTCAGAAGTTGAATAATGTCCTCTAGGTTTTTATCATTAATCTGATGGAATTGTGTCATGATGTCTGAATTGATGTTAAGTGGAGATAGGGACAACACATTTGCTGTACCTGATGCAGAGGCACTGACTGCTTGTCTGATTTTCTGAATTTTGTCAGTGAAAAAGGAGGCAATATCATTGCATGCCCTGGTGGATAGAAATTCAGAGGCTACTGACACTGGGGGGTTAGTTAGTCTGTCGACGGTAGCAAACAAGGCACGTGCGTTGTTTTTGTTTTTGGTAATGATGTCAGAGAAGAACGATTGTCGTGCGTTTTTCAATTCCAAATTATAAAGGCCAAGTCTCTCTTTATAGATTTCAAAGTGAACCTGGAGTTTTGTTTTTCGCCACCTGCGTTCAGCTTTTCGACATTCTCTTTTTTCTGTTTTCACGGTCATGGCCTTTCTCCATGGAGATATTTTCTTGCCAGACACTTCCAGAAATGAAAGGAACTTCACTGATTTTGCTTCAGCTTCTTTAACGACATTGTAAGAATAATCTCTTAAAGCATTTTATTACTGTCTTATAGCCTGATCTGTCCGAGTGCTCAATAAACTCTTCGTCACCTGGATCTCTCTTTTCACGGCTTCATCCTCT